GATTTCTGATGCAGTTGTAGCATTGGCATATTTGTTGTTCAAGCCAATATCATTAATGTCCACTTGGCTTGAGGACAGCAATAGGCACACTTTTGTTCAGTTTTATTTTTGTTTGCTAGTTACCAAAGTGTTGACGTCCAAGTCCAAGTTCAAATCATACCTCCTTCAGCAAGCAACATGTGTCCAGCACCTGGGATGGACATCAAGTGACCAACCTAAAACAACAGAACAGCTTTCCTGAAATCAGCATTTGGTTCTTCTACCCATAGCCATTAAAAACACCCACACCCAATGCTGTGAGTGTAGAATATTAATTCTGGGACAAATGATAACAAATGAGCCCAAATGAAACCTTTCCTCTAGGAAATGATTTAATAGGTAAGGCCCACTCCATCAGATTTCTTCTGGGACTGTGATGTAAGTGTAAGGTGAAGTACTAATGCAACTGCTGTGTGTGTATTCCTACCAGCTCTGTTACATGAAGATGTAAAAATTGGGGTGACACGAGGTCCCTTAGGGTGACATTACGTGTACTTCAGGCAGGAAAAAAGCTGCTTTGGCCCCTTGATGTCTCTGTAGAAGCTAAAACAATGCCGCTGATAGCTGATGACCTGACCTGTTACCTCCACTTCTCCTTGCTTCAGCTACTTACTGCAAAAGGATCACAAGAGGATCCAGTGAGAGACAGGAAGATGGACAGTGAAAAAAGGGGAGTGACTCCTCTCAACCTGACACAATTATGAACTATGAGAGAAGCACCCAGCGTACAAAATCAACTTGTGAGGACAAAACAAGGAATGGTGCTGCCCATTGAACATTTTTCTTTCTTTCTTTCTTTCTTTCCAGGAACTGAGGATCTTTGGACAAACTCAGAGTGACAGAGGCGATTGAAACTGCCAGTGGGTGGTGCATGGGCATCTCTAATGCTCACAACTGCGAGCCTTGTGCTGCCCATGCCCGCTGCATGTATTCTATTTAAACCACAGCAGAGGGAGCGTTGGCAAAGCATCTCGGCAGAGCAACCTTTTGTTATACCTGCAGCTGCTCCCTTCCCTGTCAGCACAACTGAAGCAAAAATAATCCCAATAACGATTCGCTGCCTTGTGATGGTGATGCCGCTGACTTGGCCACAGCCCGGTGGTCACTCTCTCATCGTTGTGGCTTCTTGTAGGGAAGGAAGTACCCAAAATACCCCTAGAAGCGCTGGGCTCTGCTCACCTTGCTGCCTCTCCAGCAGCCCACTCCATTCCGGCCTTCTTTCCACTTCCTCGCGCTGTTCCTGGGCTGAGCGCCGAGGGACCGTATTTGAAATCAGAGTGAGCGGCATGTTAAGAAATAGCTCTGGCACTCAACTGCTTAAAACTGCTCTTTGTTTCCCTGACTTCTCTCCTAATTTAGATTATCCAAATCCAGATTCCCCCCAGACTTGCCCATGAGATGGAGTTCTAAGAAAATATTGTTTTGTTTCATTTGCTTTTTAACGTCCACATTTCTCACATTTCCTGTTCCAATTTCAAAGTGGGGCTGAGCTCCCCCACGAGCAGCTCTCCGGCTGTTATTCTGGGGACCTGAGAGAGGGGAGGAAAATAAACAAAGCGTGGGGAATGTGTTTCTTGGATTTCCCCCTTTTTGGCCACAGGTTCTGTGAGGAGAGCTGGTGAGGTTACCTACATTCCTCTCTTTTCAGATCAGAGGAATGGGACAGAAGGTATTACTAGCATGGGACGAGGTATTAAAAAATGGACGCCTACATTTAGGCTCCTACATTTGTATTTTGAGCCCCTCAATACGGGCTTGATCTCGTGCTCTTTGAAGTCCATGCCAACGCTTCCCCTGAATCCCATCTGCAAGATGGAGTCCTCAATGATGGTCACATTCTGCAAAGCTCTCACAGCTTCGAGCGCGCCGTCACTCAGCCTCTCGGCGAACCACGCACCTTACTGATGTGCCTAAACGTGGAGCTCCTGCTTTTCAGTGTTCCATATTTAAACTCCCGCCCCTCGATTCCGTCTCCCTTTCCGTCTCAGGAGCCGTTGACGTGAGGAGGATCCCACAGCTCCCGATGCAGCGCAGCACAGACACGCGTTTGCTTTTTTTGGTGAGCGCTGCAGATCCTGTGGCAATGTCAGCATCTCCTGTCCCCGTATTTATTACGGTGTAACTCTAACACGGGAGGCCCATGTGTGCCCATGCTCGTGCCAGGATTCGTGCAAGTGCATGACCATTTGCACAACCTTCACACGCACCACTCTGCTGGTAACAGGATGTTGGCAGGTGGGAAGATCACAGGATCCAGACGAAACCTAAGATGCCGTGAGCAATCCCGTAGTGGTAATTTTAGAAGCTGGGTTCTGTACATTATTTACAGTACATTGTAGCTTTAAGGGGGTAAGGCTCTCCCTCTGCACTGCTGGATTTAATCTTTTCTGTTGGGTTTCTGTGTGGGACTTTCCAAAGTGCAGTAGCTTTGGGGATTTTATCCATCCAGAGGGAGGGGGCAAACTGCAGCTTGTTTGCAGCAGAACTACATTCATTCACAAATTGCTCACCTAGTGGGAGAGCAAAAAAAAGCCCCCAGGACCCTCTTCTACCACATAAAGACTCATCTGCTTTCTGATAGCCCACAAGCAGAGGGCTGGCGGGAGGCAGAGCTGCTTGCAATGAACTGTGGCATTGCCAGAAGCAACCCCTGCCCCTAGGATCTCCCATTTGGCATTACATTCAGCAACTAAACATCCCCTCTGCTCTTCTGGGGGATGCACGCAGCCTTCCTATCTCTTGGAGGACGCTTTTTGGCAATTGCAGTCTGAATACGGGAAACTCCAGTTGTTTTGGACAGATATTTGTTTCTTCAGAGACTCTTTGCAACAATTAGTTCTAAAAAAAAAAAAAAAAAAGCAAGAGAGAAGAGAGAGCAAATGAGAAAGGATTCTTTTGCAATGCCTGAACAAAGGCCACCCCTCCTCAGTGGTCTCTGAAGGCCTAGGTCCTTCTCCAGGCTGGGTTTGTCCCCAGGGGTGGAGAAACCCAGGGGGTGGCCGCACGCGTGGCACCATAGGCTGCATGGGGCATTTGGGGCTGGAACTGATGGGGCCGGGCAGAGCCCGCGTTCACCTCCCGGCCTTCCAGGGGATGGGCACATCTCCCTGCCCCGTACCAAGGAGAACATTTTATTCGTGTTTAAATATGAACAAAGTGGAGAACGGGTCTAAGATCTGCCAAAATCAAAGACTGATATATTTTTTTTTTGTTTGCTTGCTCCGTCTGTTCCCCTCAGCCAGCAGGTGCCTCTATAGAGCCAACGCTTTGCCTGTATCGCAGAGCTGTGGCACGGTGCTGGAATACCTGCTGCTTCCCAGCGGTAATACGGCCTTGTCTTTCACCGTGCCTTCCCCGTCGTGCAGCCCCAGCTCCGGGTGCCCGCCCTGCGGAGGGTGGCGGCAGGAGGGACATTTCTGCGTGCCGACACGCGCGTGGAGCTGCTATGTCACGTGCAGGACAACGCTGCGGGGACATGAGCAAAGGAGCTCGGCCGCGGAATGTTGCGGTAACCCCGCAGATGGAGCTGCCTTTTTGCCCTTCAAACGCCTTCCCAGCAAGCGTGATGGGGTTCGCCCGGTGGAACACCACGGGCGTTCGGTGCAGGCAGGCCCCTCCACCTAGCGACTATCTTTGGATAAAGGGGATCAAACCCAGCCGAGTTGCCCCCTCCCCTTTAGCACATAAGTGCCGAGAAATCACCGTATCTGAAAAGCGGAGGCCTCGGGGGGCCGGCCGGAGGCTGGGACGGCGAACGTCCCTCGCTGCCCCCTCCCCGCAAACGGCCCCGCTGGACTTTGGAGCGATTCCCACGGACGAGGTGAATTTTGACCCGAACGCGCATCCCTCGGCGGGGCACGACGGCGGCCGCGGGGCGGCGGGGGGAGGCGGCGCGGGTAGAGGGGCGGCAAGGGAACCCCGGGAACCTCGGTCCGGAGCGAGGCGGGCGGGAAGAACGGCGGAGGGGGCCGCAACCCCCTGCGCTCCGTCGCCGTTTCGCCCGGCGTGTAACAGGGATGGGTGGAGAGGAGGGAGGGGACCGAGGAGGAGGGTGGGACTTCTCCGGAGCGTCTCTCCCCGCGGCCGCGCCGAGCAGTTGCAGAGCGCCGGCAGCGGGCGGTGGGGCGGGCGCTGCGCGGGGAGCGGGCGCTGCGCGAAGCCGCCGCTGGAGAGCGCGGAGCGCGGCTGCCGCGGTGCCGGGGGCGAGGAGCGCACGCCGCGCCGGCGGGGGACAGCGCGCCGCGGGAGGAGCCGTGCGCGGCACCGGGACCTGCTGTTGGCTTGCCGCCGTGCTTTATCCTCTCGTTTAATTTATTTTTTCCCCACCTATACTTTGATCCGCTGGGATTTTTTTTTTTCCCTCCCTTTCCTGCAGAGCCTCCCCCCGCCCCGTTCCCTCCCTCTCTAGCCAGTTTGGATTTTTTTTTTTTCCTGTTACTATTCCGATTTTCAAAGCGGTGGACGCAGAGAGAGAGGCAGAGAGGGCAGGAGGCAGGCGGTCCGCTCGCCCCCTCCGCCACCGCCACCCCGACGTGCGGAGCGGGCTCGGGCTCAGCCCCTTCCTTCCCCCGGGGGAGGCGACCCCGGCTCGCCGCGAAGAGGGGGCGCAGCGAAAGAGATGCATTGAAACTTTCCGCGCAAACTTCGTGGCGAGTGCGCGAAGCCGAGAGCGAGCGCGGCGCGGGTGCCTGCCTGCCCCGGCGCCGGGAGAGCGGCCGCGCACGGGCGCCGCTGTGGAGCTCGGATTGCCCGGCGGCGGGGGCCGGGCGGCGGCGGGGCGGCCGCGGAGCCTGCGCTCGGCCCTGCGGAGCGCCCACCGAGAGCGGCAGCGGGGGCCGGCGGAGAGCCGGCCGTATGGAGGGGTGAAAGCGGAGACCCCGAAGAGGAGACCTCCTTCCCCCGGAGCCCCTCGCAGCGCCCGGGAGGCGGCGGGAGCGGAGGAGGCGCGGGCGAGAGCGCGGCAGCGGGGCGGCAGCGGCGGCGCGGCGGCGAGGCGGAGTGCGGCGGGCCCCGCTCCGCGGCGTGCGCCGGCAACCATGAACTTTCTGCTCACTTGGATCCACTGGGGGCTGGCGGCGCTGCTCTATCTGCAGAGCGCGGAGGTAAGCGGCGGGGCCGGCGGCGGGACGGGGCTTTGTGCGGGAGGGACTTTTCCCCTTCGTCCCTTCTCTCTCTCCCCCCGCCTTCCCTTTGCCTCCCACCTGCCCACCGCCCTGGCAGCGGGGCCGGGCGGGCGCCGGCGGCGCGCACACACGTGTGCGGGTGCGTGTGCGGGGCTGCGGCGGGGGGCGAGCGGCCGGGAGCCGCGCGCGGAGTGCCCGCGCACGTGTGCGCGCAATGCACGCCCCCGGCGCGGGGCTCCCCGCGGAGTGGCCGTGGGGCCGCGGGGCCGGGCGCGGGGCAGGGAGGCAGCGCGCTGCCTTCTTGCATCAGCCTCGCCTCCCGTCCCCCGGTCTCCTGACATTGCAAAAGGGTGTTCGGCCGTATTTGCCTTGGGTCCCGGCTCGGGTTCGTGCCGCCGAGCGGAGTTCAAAATACCTCGCTGGAAAAACAAATAAAGATCAAAGAGGACAAAATGGATCCTGATTTTTTTCCAGATTGATTTTTTTTTTTTTCCAAAATACATATCTCTGGCACCGTGATTACAAAACCCCGCGTTTTTCCCTTCTCTTCCTCGTTGGTCACTTTTACTTTTGCCTCGTTGTCATTCCTGAGCGATTAGAGACCAACTCTTCCTCCTTTTTCTTTCTCTGTTTTGTTTCTAAAAGGCAGAGCTGTGTGCAAACCTGCCCTATAAATCTATCTGTTTCTGGAGTCCGGAGGGCTGTGTTGCCAAGAGATATTAAGGGGTTTAGACAGAGTGCCCACGTGAAAGTGGCTGTGCGCTGGGTAGGCATGGATTATGTTTAAGGCTGTAAGAGGCCAATGCTCCCCGCACTGCTCCTCTGCTCTTGCAGGGAATATGGGCCACATCATCTCCCACAGACATGAAAATAAAGGTCGCCTGCAAGCTGCTCAGTTATTCACATTGTTTGTTCAGCATGGATGCTGGAAGGTAACTCCCCAATTAGGAGCCATTTCAGCTGGAACTGGAGGCAGGCTCCGCACGCTTTGTTTCTCGCCTGTTATATCTCCACTTTCCCCGGTGACAGCCGCACGTTGGGCAGTGCTGGATGGGAACCAAGGCTCAGCTCCCATCTGAGCGTGTCACAGAGCTGCGCCGTGCAGCCTGGCGGCCACGTCTGCCTCATGGGACAATTCTTTCCACCCTCCAAGAGTTTTTCCATCATCAGCTAAGATGGGGCTTCTCTGCCCGCTGCCTCCTCCATAATCTTAGAGAGTAGCATCTCTTCCCTGGCTGTGGGTTAGACAAGTCCGTGTCCGGTGATAAAACCCTTCAACCCTCCCCTTGCGCCTTCTCCCCTCCCCTTCCTCTTCCCCGGAGACGAAGCTGCAGATCAGGTAGGGTCTGGGTCTGTCTGTCTGCAGGGGCCATGCAAAAGCCTGTTCTCCTGGGTTGAAGGATGGTGTGATGTGAAAAGAAAGGGGAAAAATTATGGTGTGGCGTGGGAAATGTGGAGCGGTGGGAGGTGTTGTAGGGTAAATCCGCGTGAGACTGTGAGATGCGCAGATAGTGGGATGATGCGGGCCGTGCGAGTGCTTGGACGGATGAACGGTAAGGTCTGTCCTTCGGTTCTGTCCTTATTTGTCTGTGGGCCTCTCGGGCGCCACGGTGATGGTCGGGATGTTGGGAATGCCAGTGGGTCTCACGTAGGCACCCTGATGGTGGCTCTGGGCACGGCAGAAAGTGCCACTCTTCATTTTGTGCTCTGGTAATAGTATTTACCGGTGCTGTTAATCAGGCTGTCATATGGAGTAAAACCTATCTAGCTAGTCAGGCGCATTGGGAAGGACTAAAGAAGAGCCGTGGAGAGGCTGGGCAGGAAGGCAGGGTCAGGCGCGTGTCCGGCGGCTTTCCCAAGGGTGAAGGAGGAGGGACACGGGAAGATCAGTGCTGCTCTGCCTAAGAGATGGCTCCTCACCGAGGGGTTGGCACGCTCGCTCCCGGGATGGTGGGAAGTGTGTCACGGTGTGGGCTGGGTGGTGCCGATGCCACAGGTGTCTGCCTCCACGTGTGGCCACAGCCCTTCTGTGCGGGAGAGGGAGGAAGAGGCGGTTTTGCAGTGCCACCCTCCCAGATGCTCGCCAGTACTGAGCTCCCGTGGGCTCCAGGAGGCTGCGGTGGTGTCCCCGTTTCCTAGAGATACGGGGGACAGCGGCTCCTTCCCCATCGGCTTTGTCCAGCTGTAGTGATGGCAGGTCCCTGCCGATGGGGCTCTGGGAACCTATCCCTTCCCTGAGATGTGGAAGGACCTGGCCCTACCAGCTGTATTGCCACAGGGAACAGGCAGCGCTCAGACACACAGGGAGGGAGAGCGCGCCTGTGACCAGACTGCTAATGATCACACACCCACCCGCCGTGCTGCCTTCAGCCTGCTTCCGCACCAGGCCGCGCCAGGAGCTCCGCAGCCCCTCAGCTGCCCGTGCACAGCGGTCACCTTCCCCATAGCACTCCTATGGGGAAGGAGGAGGGCTCATGTGGGAGCGGGGGAGCCCGTGCTGACACCACAGAGGGGCTCACAGATGCCTGAGCAACCCAAGTGGGATCCCTCGTCCGTCCTGCTCCGTATCAGGGTGCCCGCACTGCGCTGGCCGTTTGTGGGATTACCGACCTCTGGCTGTGTGCACAATGGAGAGGGAGAGCAGCGAGAGCTCCCTGCTTAAGTAGAAACCGCTGAGAAGAATTTCTAGCGCCTAAGACGAAAAGTGCATTAACTCCTGTCCCAGAGTCCCTCTTAGAGTGGATGGATTGTTTGTTCCAGTCCTAAACAGTTACAAAGCTCTTTTAATGAGGCTGCACAGATTAGGGGGAGGGGAAGGGAGAGAAAGAGTGCTGGTGGTGTTGGCGAGGGGGGCGATGGCTGGGGAGGAACAGCGTCATTAACCTTTTCTCTCCCTTTAGAGAATAACTTGCTCCATACTGGAACTGGGAGGAAAGGGAGAACGGGAAGGTGCAGGTACAGAGGTGTGAAATACGATTATTTCTTCAGGAGGGTTTTGACCCGCTTTAGGACAAGTATTTGCTGTGACCTGCAAAGGGCACAAAAAGGAGCTTCCCGCTCTTGAGCCCAGGGCTTGCTTCCACACCTCTGTGACATGCTGAAAATCTATTGGAAAGAAATCGTGTTACAGAGCTGTTGGGTAATTCCAAAAGACAGCAGAGGAGAGCGTGACCTTCAGGCTCCCACCAAAGGGCACTCTAGGCCCGTTTGTCCCTTGGAATGCTTTGGTTTCCCATTGCCCTTTGTGATATGCAGCAGCCTGGTTTAGAGTGAGGCAGAATCCCCTGCCTCATCTGCTGTTAGATAGGCTTTGCGTGCGTTAGTGAAAGGCAGTGCCCAAAGGACAGAGAAGTTTCTTGCCCTGGTGAGCTAACTGTATGTTAGTGATAGTTCTGTGTATCTGCGGAGAAGGTCCCCTTTGAGCTCTGCCAAGGGAGCACAGCAGCCTTGTTGCTCCGCTCCTGGCAGGCTCCATATCCATCTCATTTCACATCTGTGGGTGGAACTGTGACCCAGGTGTAGGTGATGGCTGGGAGAGGGCTGGCTCCTGCACTGGTACACCCTGGGCAGGGAGAGGTGCTAGCCACGTGCAGATCAGCAGTGAAAGTGTGTGGCTTCTGTCTGCTTCCCAACCGCCATGCACCACGTGTGTGTGTGCATGCAGGGAGGCAGGGGGCTTGGCAGCAGGCTGAGCAGCCTCACACCAAGAAGGGACAGCATGACCCTCAAGGTGTCTCAGAGCTAATTCTGCTCAGTCCATCACGGTCACCTGGTGTGTGAACCAGAAATCCCTCAGCAAAAGGTCTTGGGGGCATTGTGACTTGGATAGGCTGACCTGGCTCGTGATTGCTTTCCTGTGCTATGATGTGAATTGAGGCTTTTCTGCCCTTGAAGCGGTTTTCCTTCTGACCCATAGATCTTCAGGCGCTGAGCCGCTCTGGAAGGCCGCTGCAGCCTCTGCTGCCTCCATTTTGTTTGCGCTGTTGCAGTGACCTTCACACTTCAGGGATGAAATTGTTCCTAGGAACCTGCTTTTTAAACTGTTATCACAGCACTGAGGTTAGGCACACAAGCTCTCCTCGCAGGGATATAACAATGGAGTGGCTCAGGCCTGGACCAGCGTGCTACGCTCAGGTACAGAGGGATGTTAACAGAAAGGAGAAGCGAGGAGTTTGGTCAGGGGGACCTTAAACAAAGGGAACTGTGCACAGACACAAAGGAATGGCTGAGAGAGGGGCTCTGCCGGCTCGCTTTCCTCCTCCTCTTCAAAGCTGACACTCCAGGCTGTGGACAGGGCTGCTGAGAAGGCTGTAGATGGCAAATTCCCGTTGTGAGCCCGAGGTGGACTTTGCCTGGTCCGTTCAGCCCTGTCTCCAGCTGTGAGATCAGAAGACCTTTTTGTAGGCTTAAATACAGCAGATTGCTGATGAAGCAGTATTTTGTGTGTGCCTGCTTGCTGAAATGCAGCAGGTTCTGGGGTGGATGGCGTCACGCAGGTGGCAACATACTTTGCAGAAGTGAAGAAACCTGAGCGTTTTGGTTTTGGTACAGAACAGAACAGCAGGGGGAAACCTGACTTGGCTGGAAAGTTACGTCAGAGCTCCAACCCTGGCGTGGAGCAGGAAGAGTGGAGTTTTTGTTACACCTGGAATTAAAAAAACCACTTCCTTAGCAAAGTGATGCAACCCTGCTCCAACTCAGTCTGGGGGTGGGTTGCCTACTGCCGATCCCGCTGAGGAAATGCCCCTTGTCCCAACAGGGCAGCGAGTGCAGAGCTCGGGACTCGTTCAGTGCTGAGGCTGGGCCCGTTAGGTGACGGTGCCAAGTGTCACACCAGCCTGTATCTATCACAGGGGAGAGGAGGGACGCTGTGGGGTGTCACAGCACGCGGTGCCCTCGCAGCTCATCGCCTGACACGGGCCAGGCAGCGACAGCTCTGTGGCCACCAACAGCGGTGGGTGACATTGAGAGGGGCGCAGCACCCTTCGGCGCCCGACAGCCCTTCCGCCCCCCCCCCCCCCCGACCCTCCCGGCTGCCCGTTCGGCTCTGTGGCGGGGAGGCCATAGAGGAGGCCGTAGAGGAGACGGGCAGGGCGGCCGCTGGCCCAGGCCCCGCAGCAGCCCTGCGGTGCGCTCGTTCCTTTCGGCTCCCGCGGGGAGAACAAAAGGTCTCTCTGTGCCGCCGCCGGGGACGGCCTCGCTCCGGGGCTGCCCGGTGGCGGCGGGCCCGGGACCCCAACCCCACCCTCCCTTCCCCGCGGCCCGGCGTGACGGCTCCGCGTCGTGACCGATTCTCTGTTCTCTTCGCAGTTGTCGAAGGCTGCTCCGGCCCTGGGGGATGGGGAGCGGAAGCCCAATGAAGGTAAGCGCGGGGCGGCTTCCCTCGGGGGCGGGGGGCTCGGGGGAAGGAGGCCCGGGCGGCCAACACCGCCATCTCCCGGGGAGCGGCGGCGGGCGCGGGGCGCGGGGCGGGGGCGCCGCCATTAAACCCCGCGCGGTGCTGGGCGCGAGGAGGCCGCGGGGCAGCGGCTGGGCAGCCTTGGAGCCGGGGCGGGCGGCGGGGCCGGCCCAGCCCTCCTCACGCCTCCCATAACTGCGAGAAGTGCGTGCGTGCGCTCGGGCACACACGCGCACTCATTTATATATATATATATATATATATTTATATACGCACACAAAGAGCTGAGTAGCTGCGAACAGCCTCCTAGGAATTCGCCACAGTTCCGTAGGAAGGGATTTGTCATCTTCGCTGCCTGCCTCTTCCCCGCAGGCGCTGGGGGTGCCCGGCCGGCCAGGGCTGATCCTGAACAAAGGCCCCAGCAGCACCCAGCACCAGGCTGTGGGTCTGGACCTCCCGACAGGGCCACCTGCCCCCGCTCGGGCTATTGCTGTGTGTAGAGTCGGGCTTGAGAAATAACACCTTTTTACTCTGGTGTGAGGCACAGAGGGCTCTGATCCCAAAGGTTCTGCTTTATAGCAGCACAGCAGAGGCAAGAATATGGCCTGCTGGGGAAGCGTGCTGCTTTTGTGCCACTCTGGCTGCCTCAAGGCCAAAATAAGCCCTCTGCAGTGCTGGTTTGTGCCTGTGGATAGATGTGTGTGTGGGCCAGAAGAGTGGGCAGCTTCTGGGTCAGTGGGAGATGCCCCCTGCATGTCCCTTGCCCCACGTGTTGCAGCCAGTTGGCTTCCACAGCCTTTAGGCCAGCAGAGGGTAGCGGGCAGTCCAGTTCTTAGGAGTAGAATGGTAAGGTGGGTGTCAGCAGGGCCCTGTCACGTAGGGATGTGATCAGTAAAATAACTGCCGTGTCTCCACAAGAAGGAAACATAAGCTTAGGTGTTTTGGAGAATGCGTATTCCCAATTACAATCTGACTGTGGACATCAGAGCCTTCAGGCTTGGGTGATCATCAGCTGCTCTAAGGCCATCCTGACTGCACTTTCCTTGCTGCCTCCGTGGCTGAGCAGAGCCCTCACTGGTGTGGCTGTGGTGAAGGGTCCCCCCATGGGCTGTGACCTCCAGCGTTATTCCAGTCAAAGGTCAGCAGAGGGCTCTAGCAGTGTGGGTCCAGATTGGCTTTTTTTTTTTTTTTTTGTTGCACTCGATTTCAATTTCTGTAACTTTATTAGTGTGACAGACTGTGAGTGTGTTGTTAGAGGTTTGTGGCAGCCTGTTTGGGATAGGTGTCCATTTTGCATGGCCGAAATTTCTGATTTGCTGGCGGGCTGCCGTGTGTTGTGCTTGACCCTTGCTCCTGCTGAAGTCAACAGAAGAAGGTTCAGTGACTTCAGAGGGATCAAGATGGAGCCTGCTGTGAGGCTTATTTTGGTAACCAGTCACTCTGCTGTTGGTAGAAAAGAGGCAGTATCCTCATCTGGCCATTTGTTGTGACCAGTTACCTTCCTGGGGAGGGGATGAGTTGAGTGGAGTGTCACTCCCTGGCACAGGAAGGCGGATGGGAGCAGGGGAGAAGCTGATCTAGCAGTGTGAGCAGTGAGACTTCAGTGCTATTGCCTTGGTGCTATTCCTGACCCTGCGTTGCAAATACATCAGTGAGCAAGAAGTTAGGACTCTTGGCATTACCTTCTTGGCTCTGCTCCCGTCCTGCTGGATGACCTTGGAGGTCTGCTCTCAGTACCTCAGTTTATCCTCTCTGAAGAGGAGCCGTCGATGTGCCTATGTTGCACAGTCCCACGGTGCCTTTTTCCACCGGTGTTCCTGGAGCCTTTGGGGTCGGCAGGAAAGGTGATTTTGTGTCTTTGGCCATTTTGTGCTTGCAAGCAGCAACAGATTTTTGTTTGGGATGAACTTGCTCTGATTGGAGCGTGTAATTTTAGCTTCACCCCCTACCCTTTTGTGCTCCAGAGAGCTTTCCACATGTTTTGTGGCACAGGAAGTTGTAGAGGAGTCAGACAAACACTCTTTGTTTGTTCCACGAGCAAAGATTTTCTGGTATAAATAAAGGAAACCACCAGCACTTGTGGCTGCACTCTTATTTTTAAAAGAACAGTGTGTCTATATTGCTGCAGAGCCATTGAGGGAAAAGAAGGCAAAATGATCATAGAGCTGCTCCTTTTCTAGTCTCGCTTGTTCCCACTCGTCTGCTCCAAATTTGGACTCAATCCCACCTGCCATGGCTGTGTCTGCCCTGAAGAGTTAATGTGGACCCTGGCTGGGTTTTAACCTTTCTTCTCTCTCCATTCACAAAGAAGAACCTCTGACTCAAATCTGGAGGAGTGTTACAGGGTAGGGGTGTGTGTTAAATGCGGGATTAACTTTTAACATGGGCTGAGGCCCAAATTGCAGGAGGGGAGCAGGACAAATGGCATTAGTCCTTCAGTGACCTTCCCATTTCTTCCCATCAAAAACAGACGTCCTTCCGTCCCCAACACGACCAATGGAAAGGAGGCATGGACTGAATCAGCCCGGCAAAGTGTGGAATATGACTCCCGGTGCATAGGAGTAAGCGTAGCAGGGGCAGGGCTTTGAGGGATGACTGTACCTCAGTCATGTGCTCTGCTGTAGCTGTGCAAATGGACTGTGAAGCGTTGCAGTCTCCGTGTGAATGCTCTGTGTGCAGCAGGATCAGGGCAGTGCACCTTTGGCGGCAGGAGATCTGACAGGCAGCTGGAGAAGGAGTCCCCGCTTCCTATCCAGAGGCTGATTGCAGCTTTGGAAGATCAGTGTGCATTAATGTAAAAGCGAAAACGCTGCATTGTTCATGGGAGGCAATTGGTCCTGTTCGATCTCCCAGATCTCAAGTACAGCTAGCAGGGTGCAGCCAAGAAACTAAAAAACTCTGCAGAAAAATTCAGATGTGTTGTTTTTTTTTCTGTGGCCAATCTATAGTGCAGTTTCAATGGTATAATCCAGCTGCTTGCGCAGTGTAAACATTCAGAGAGCATAGCAGACCTGAATCAGTTTCACTTTAGTTTTATTCTTGGTTTTGGTTTCTGCCTCTTTATATCTCAGCCAAATTCAGTGAGCAGCCTTTGATCTGCACAGGTAACCTTTGCTTCCCCTCCCTCCTTGCTCTCCTCCTTCCCCATGCAGTCAGTCCACAAGCATTTCTATCCAGAGCTGTGCCTTTATTGCCAGGGTTCCCAGATCCTTTCTGCTGGCACAGTGTGAATAATCAGCAGTGCAGTTCAGTAGCTGTCATTGTGCCTGCAGAATTTCCCACATATTAAATTGTTCAACTTGCTGGAACATAGGCAGTGAGTAGGGTCACTTTGAAGGGGAGCAGGAAGGAGGTAGCGTGGACTCGATGGAAGGAGGATGGACGGACAAGAGGCACACTGCAGTCAGGGGAAGAAGGAAGAGGGAGGGAAGGACAGGGAACAGAAGCATGCTGTCTTTTAGGCTAGGAATACCAGCAAGCAATATGTGCCTGCCAGGCTACATTTTCTTTTCATAAGCCACTTTCTCTTTTAATAGTAGCTCACGCTCGCTGACACTTCAGACTCTCTGGATGGGAGCTCCTCCCTTCTTGTACCCGCTCTCAGCACTGTGGCACTGTCAGCTCTGCATGACCTCGAATTAACTTTCAACAATTAACTGTGGGCTCTGAGCTCCAAGCCCTACAGCTTTTGCTTTTTTTTTTGTGTGTGTGTGTGTGTGTGGCAAAGTAACCTTTATGCCAGTTTAGGGCGCTTTAGAAATGCTTACCGGAGACCATTTTTTTTCCATGATGCAAGCACTTGCGCTTATCACTCAGTTATCAATGCTGGTGCTGTAGGACTCTGTATGCTGTACAGGTGGATCATTATAGTGCGTAACACCGTGGGGCAGGTACTCCCTCTTTGTGCGTACTCTTCTCCTCTGCACCGTTTGAGCCATGTTCCTTTGCCTGCATGCTGCTAGAGCTAGGAGGCCTGGGGGGCTCCAGGTACCCGCTGTTTGCAGGAGTGTGCTAGCAGCTGGGTTTTGTGCGTGTGTGCTTATCTCTCCTATCTCTCATCTCTTTAAATCTCTCCAACCCTTGACCAAGCAGCAAGACGAAGCTTTGGCAAGAGACTGGGAAACATTGAGAAACGCTTGTGAAATCGGTGCAGATCGCAAGCAGTCAGTGTTTGCTCCATTCAGAGGAAAGGCAGGGGATAATGGCAGATCCACCCCGTTTCCCCTCCCACGTGGCCTTACTGTGGTTCGGTAGCCAAGTATGTGGTCTAGTTAATCCTGGGGGTGCTGTGGTCTTGCTTTGAGTCTCCCAGTGGGTGGTTCAGTTCCTTGTTTTGAGAAAGCGGTTGATGTAGAGACACGGGGGCTGTGACCTGCCTGCCTGCGGCAGGTGATTCTGAAGGTGGCCTCTTGAGGTGGATGTTATGCATGGGCAAAAGAGGTGTCTGTTGGGAAGAAAGAAGCCACATAGATGCATTGTTCAGAACCATCTCTTCATTCTCAGGAGGGTCTCTGTGCCAGGATCTGTGAGAGGGATGCTTCTTCCTCTGGCTTACAAACCCCTGCCTTCTAAAACCCGCTGGGGCATCAACTGGCTGTTTTGAAAGGGGGTAAAAGATGAATCAGTGAGGGTTCTTAATCCAGAGCGCAGATCATATGCAGCAGCCTCTGCTGCTTTTCGGCTGAGCTGATATGTTTGGTGGCAGCATATCTGAATGTATCGAGGATGGCAGGGGAGGAGGCACCTTGGATGCATGGTGTCAGGGAGAGCCAATCCAATCATTAAAGCTCTCTGGTCCATCATGTCTGTGCCCTAAAGCAGTGTCAGGGAGAGGCTGTCTCCTCTTCCCCACTTCGTTTGGGGTGTGGGTGGGAGGGTGTGTGTGTGTGTGTGTGTGTGTGTGTGTAGGGCAGAGACAAAGAAAGGACTTAGGCTGTTAGTGAAGAGTATAGAGTAGATGTGTTACAACTGTCTGGCTTTTAAGGGGTAAAGAACTAGACATTCTTGAGCTGAGTTTGCATTAACTTATTCCCTCCATTCCTCCCTGTAGTTATCAAATTCCTGGAAGTCTACGAGCGCAGCTTCTGCAGGACAATTGAGACCCTGGTGGACATTTTCCAGGAGTACCCTGATGAGGTGGAGTACATATTCAGGCCATCCTGTGTGCCTCTGATGAGATGTGCGGGTTGCTGCGGCGATGAGGGCCTAGAATGTGTCCCTGTGGATGTGTACAACGTCACGATGGAGGTGAGGGCCCAACCTGCAAGCTGGCATGCTTGGGTGGAGTAAGCAAGTCACCCATCACAGCCACTCAAAGAGCAGCCTACCCTAGGGAACTGTAAACTGTCAGATCAAGAGGGCTTACCTCTTTGCTGATCCTCGCATCCAGCATTACACTGCACAAGGGTGAAAAGTGAGCTGCCTGTCTATATGCAAAGCTAAAAAGAGAGTCTGTTTTTCAGTGGCTCTGATGCTCATTGGTGCTCAAATACAGAAGCTAGGACTATGCAAAGGAGGCACTTACCTTAGAGAACGCAAAGGCCCATTGCTGATGCTGTAGCTCTGAGGCCCTAAAAAAGATGCTCCCCAGGCCCTTGCTCTACCTTAACTCTGCATTTGGTCCACGCAGCTGTTGCTTTCAAGGCAGCAGTGTAGTGCAGAAAGGGGAAAGCCTGCCAGTACTCCCTCCCGGAGGGCATGCGAGGTCAGCCTTTACCAACAGAGCAGAGGATTTGGGTCATTAGCTACATTGGCACAGCAGGGGTGGGAAGGGTCTCTAAGAAAAACTCTGCTTCAGTGTCAAGTGGAAAAGCCTTTCTGCCTCTAGGCGTACTCCTCCTTTATTTGGAGGCTGCGTAATTCATTTCTTGGAAGAGACAGACTGACTGTGATAGTGAAGTCTGGGCACATGGGGAAGGCTTAGAGACTCTGCTTAGAGAGCTTTGTCACTGCCTTTGCCAGCCTGGGTCCCAGCTTGTATACAGCATGGTGCTCGCACCAAGTACTTGACTTGTAGCTCCCACATGTCTTTCACCCTCTTGAATGGGACCTGTAAATGTTGCCATCAGTTTTTTAAATGGATGAGAGACTTGCAGGACTATATGATTACTAGCCAGTGCTTTTCACTTGTGACCTCAGCTGTGTTTGAACTTCAGGAGAGAATCTGTCTGTGTCCTTCTGTGGTTCCCCTGTATTGGTTTTCCACTTGCAAGCTCCTGCTTGGGTCAGAGCCTACTAGCACAGTGTAACTAAGGGTGGTTTTCTTACCTTTCCTTGCTGAATTACAGGTTTCAACTGGCATGCCCACGTGCTTGTAAAGGGTCACAGGCATTTCAGTGGCTAATGCTAGAGCTAGTGGTCCAGCCAGGTTCTGGGTTGAGAGGCTGTGACAGTACATGCAGAGTTTCTAACGCAGCTTCCCCGGAGGCACATTGAGCTAGGGGCTAGGCAAAGTCTGGCTCTGCAGGGGTGTTTTAAGCACAGAGCACCAGATTTATTCTTTGTGTCGTCTCAGAGAGAAAACGAGATGCCAGCCAGGAATGAGTGGTGGCTTAGGGAAAATTACTTGGATATGGAGCTTTTGCTTTGGGACTTTGCTTTAGGCTGAAGCCTGCCTCTGTCTGAGAGCAGTCTGGATGCTCCATCACTGTCTTTCTAGTATTGACCAGGGCTGACTGCTCAGCGAGACTCTTACTGTGGTGTTACGCCCTCTCCCATGCCTGTCTCCAAGGCAGTCCACCAGTACTGGCACCTTGCATGCATGAGCAAACAGAGCTTTGGCACGAGACTGGTGTTGCCGCTTGCTTGTGATCAAAGGCCTTCCCTGACTGGGAGAACAGGGCCTCAAAGCTAGCTCAAACTCTGCCATGCTTTTCCCAGGAGCACCTGGAGTACAAAATGCTTTTGCTAGGCAGTGGACTGATTTGGAGTCATGAATATAAATAGTGAATGGGCAGTGACCCTCTCTGTTTCTTTCATTCCAGATCGCGAGAATTAAACCCCATCAGAGTCAGCACATAGCGCACATGAGCTTCTTACAGCACAGTAAATGTGACTGCAGGTGAGAATGGAGCAGCACTGGTTCCTCTTGCAATTAACTTATTCTGAGCCCTTTCTATTTTTCTGCCGTTGTGTTGAGACCGTCGTCTCCACAGTTGGTTTTCAGTGGGATGACAGAGCCTGGAGAAGAGCTGCTTTGCTCATGAGGCACCTCCATCTCTAGATATGACAGGTGGACAATACTAGCCTGCAGCCTGGGGTCTTCCGGCCTTGGTGAGGTGCAGCAGGAGGGCAGCTGTACATGTCCTTCCCTGGACTTGTGGGATTTGGAGATAATACTGGAAGTGTATGTGATAAGCTCCCTTTTAATGATGCCTTTGTTCTCTCTTCCCTCACAGACCAAAGAAAGATGTCAAAAATAAACAAGAAAAGTAAGTGACAAGGTTTTTCTCCCTTCTCTTTTGGTGGTTGGTTGGCATTTCTTCTCCCTACCGCCCCCTGCCCTTTTCCTTGATTGGTTGAAGATACTCACTTTGAGAAGGTGTTTTTGGAAATGGCATATGGTAGTGCATGGGGCAACACTCTGAATCCGTTCCAGGTGGGCACAGAAACCCAGATCTGATGGTCCTACCTACATACCCCAGACCTGGAGCTTGCATGACCCACAGCCATGGCAGTCATTCCTAATGCTTTACCCTGAGTCAGGGAAGTCCCGTCGTGTGTGTCCTACCAGAATGGATTCAAGGTGCAGCCCCCATTCTCCCTTGCCTCCTCCTGGGGTGTTTCTGGTTACTGCATATCGCTGCCTTTCTTCATTATTAATTTTTTTTCTTGCTGCTTGAGTGAGAACTTGCTCGCTTCTTTCACAGCAGCTTGGGTTGGAGCTCTGCTGGCTACAGGGAGAGGTGGCAGTGGAGGCTTGGTGGAGGCAGGACTGATGCCATGCACGATGTGATGCTGGTTTTGGTTGGGTGGGGGCCTGGGAGGATGTAAAGGATGTGGAGGTCCTGGTGGAGGCTTTCAAGAGAGTTTTCTTGAGCTGATGGATTTGCTCTGGTGACCTGAAGAAGGTTAAGGCACAACCTTCCCTTTCCTTCCTTCCCAAAGTAAAAAGGTTGTGGAAAGGAGATAAAAAAAAGCTCTCGTCCTGCAGTAGTTGCAGGGACGATCACAAAACGTGGAACAACATGGACAAAAAGTGACCTCTCTGGACAAGAGGGTCAGCCGGACTGCGCATGGCTGGGATAGTGACTCTGCCATATAGAGGTGCGGAGTTGGAGAGGAAAGGGGTAAATACTGGGAGATGAGGCTGAAACAGAGAGCAAGTGGAAGAGTGAGAGAGAACGTCTTTCACCCCTTTCCTGGTGGTTGTGGATTTCTAGCTGCCTTCCAGTCCCTCTTCTTCCCCCTGGAAAGCTGCTCGTGGCTGCATCAGGCTCTGTGCAGCCAAAGCTCCCCTCTGTGCAGGACCGTGTTGGGGATGGTCATCTGCGTGGCTCTGTGGTTTGAAGGTGTGCAAGTTGGGTCTGTGTGAGCTCTGGTGAGGATGGGGTGTGGGTGAAGCAGCCAGCCCAGACTGCGTTGCATTCCCTTTCCTCTTCTAACAGCACCTTGCCTGCTCTTTGCTGGTTCTGCACTCCCTGGGGAAGGAAGGGAAGGGATGGGAGAGATCGGTATGCTTTGATTTGTTCTGATTTGAAAGTCCCGTTATATATCTCCATCTTCAGATTGATTTTCTTCTTCCTCACCACCTCCCTGTGCCTCCTGACATGTAGGGCAGCAGCTGGGAGTGAGCTGATGCTCTGATACACATTCCATCAAGAAGACTGGAGCAGGCCTAAGAAACACCTGTGGTGTTGCTTTCTGTCCCCCTGCTCCACCTCAACAGCTCCCTCCCAGGATGTGCTGCCCCCAGGCAGAGTGGGGAAGGAGGGAGGCTGCTGAGCTGCTGTGGGGCTCATAAGTCTGACAAACCCTGGTGCTTGTCCCAAGGCCTTCTCACATGCCTGTCCTTTGTTGCTATGCTGATATAGCTTGAGGAGCAATGCAGGCTCCAGCCTCCCCTTCTCTGTGCTCTCAGTGGGCTGCAGAGATCCATGATTAGTGTCCATGCCTGCATGTTCCAGCCCTTGCCTGTCTCAGCTCCTGCCCAAAAATCAGAAGCAGCAGGTGAATCTTTAAGAGAGTGCTTTGGCTCCGTCCGTTTGTCTGTCTGTCAGATCTATGTGGAAAGCAAAGGGAAGGGCTGGATGGAGGAGGAAAGAAAGGAAAATCTGAAAGCTGCTTGCAGTTTTCATCTCCTGTGTGTCCCGACTGGGCTAGACCTTCCTGTTCATCCTCTGTTGCTCATCACAGAGGATGCTGGAGGGTGCGTGAGCAAAAAGAGAGGTCTTCCTGAGTCCACTGAGCCACAGGCACTGGTAGGGTGGGTGAGCAGAGCTTTCAGGCTGCAGTCCCCCGCTCCCATGCAGCAGCACTGCTCAGAACAGGCCTCAATCCTTGTCCCCAGCGTACTGAGCCCAGGGCCCCATCGCTCCCATCCCGTGGCAGGATGATTGCCATCCCTGCAGTGGGGCTGCTGGGTGTCCCTTCCTCACCATCAGATCACGGTGGTCTCTTTTTCTCCATGTCAGCCAGCGTAAACCTGAGCTTGTCACCAGAGCTGGTTGTCTGCGCTCGCTGCAGTTGTGTGATGCTTTCACCAGGCTTCCTGATCCCTTCCCCTCTCCACTGCCCCTCTCCAGGGGTGCGGGTAACCCTCAGAGGCCCGTGGATGCCGGAGCCTCACGTGGAGGTGGCCTCTGCACTCTGTGTTCCTGGCGCTGGCTTGGCTGCGGGCAGGCTGGTGGCGGTGCTGCAAGAGGGCCAGTGAGTGTGTGTGCGAGGTGGAGGTCTGTGCTTCACTCCAGGACTTGCCCTCCAATCCTGCCTCATGTGCTTTCCCCTCCCAGCAAGGCACATGGCTGTGTTTTTTCTCTCTTCTTCCTTGCGTTTTCTTCTGTTTTCTCTCTTGCTCTCCCTCTCTCTTTCCTGCTCTCTCTCTCTTTCTCTGTTTTTTTTTGTTTTGTTTTTCTTCCAGAAAATCAAAGCGAGGAAAGGGGAAGGGTCAAAAGAGAAAGCGCAAGAAAGGCCGGTACAAACCACCCAGCTTGTACGTTTGTGTCCTCTGCTTGTAGACTCTCTTCCCTCCCTTTCCCCAACCAATCCGCCTGCTTGCTGCTCACTCAGAATCACACCCTCCCCCCCAGTCACTGGTGGGCTGCAGGTCCTGCAATGCTGGCGGTGGCACCGCTCTGGCACTAAGGGTGTCTCAGGGAAGGTGGCTTTGGCTTGCTCAGCTCTCTCTAATCATCACCGGTGACCATTTCCCCTGGGCAAAGAAGCGCGGGCAGGTGCCCCACGCCTCTTTGCCACTCCTTTGGTTATAGCTCTGTCCCGCGCTGTCCTCCACTCGCCTTGTGCCCTCGCTGCGACAGCTGGTGGAAGACGAGCTGCTGCCTGCCGTGCATGTGTGTGTGTGTGCGTGTGTGTGCGTGTGTGTGTGTGTGTGTCTGGTGGAGTCACAAGCGGAGAGGAGAGGTGGGACGGTGGGAAGCTGGAGAGGGGGTGCCGGGGAACTTGAGGGGGGCTCTCTGTCTCTCTCTCTGCTGGATTTGGTGGCTTCTCTCTCCTTGCCTCTTTCTACCTGTCTCCGTCTCTTTCGCTCTCTCTCACGGTGGTTCACAAAATTCTGCATTGTAAATTCACAGTCCTTCAGGGCAGGCTCCTAGGTGGCAAGGTGGAGATGGGGCTCACGGAAAGGAGGGCAGTGCAGACTGCAGGTGTAAGCACACAATGCTGGAGCCCAGTTGCTTTCCAGCAGGGACAGACCCTGCGTATTTATCTCGTTCAGCCTCTGGCTTCTTTCTACTCCAACAGCCCACTTCAGAGAATGCCTCTCATTGACTCCTCAGTAGCTGGTTGGGACTTCTCACCTTCCCATCCTTGCTTCTCCCTTCTTCCTCCCTGTGGTGTGTGCCAAAGGATCCAATGCAGCATTTGTGAATACTGTGCAGAGAGCCTGTTTTCTTTCTCTTTACGCTAATGCAAGGGGATGCTGTCCTGACCATGTCCTGGGGCTCATGGGGTGCTGCTGGAAATCCATCAGCCCTTGACACTCCAGTGGGCAGCATGGGGGCTGCGGGAGGGGGCAAGGGGATTGCTTTGATGTTTAGGGTGTTGCATGTGTATTTTCTTTCTGCTGAAGCGCTGTAGCTTAGACATCTTTCCTTTTGCCTTTTTGCAGTCACTGTGAGCCTTGCTCAGAGAGGAGAAAGCACTTGTTTGTACAAGATCCCCAGACCTGTAAATGTTCCTGCAAATTCACAGACTCACGTTGCAAGTCGAGGCAGCTTGAGTTAAACGAGCGCACTTGCAGGTTTGTGTCCTGAAGGATGAAAGAGAAACACACAGAGAGAAAGAGAGAGAAAGAAAGAGGGGGGAGCTTGCTTCCTGCTGACTTCTGGCACCAGTGCTATGTGATCACTTCTTTTCTCTGTCCTACATGGGCCAGAGGGCAGAGGGAGGACTGAGAGGAGGACAGAGATTCTCCGTGTCAGGGGGCGGTTGTGCGTTTCTGATATGCTGTCAGGACTTGGATGGGGATGGGTGTTCATACCTAAGATTTCCTTTCCCCCAGAACAAAATACGAGTTCGTATTGCTGCAGAAGCTATGGGGAGGGTCTGTAGCCTTCTGTACATTATTTGTATGCAGTTCTGAGGCTACTGTTGTACAAAGCCAAATCCTTCTTAGCAGGCTAAGATTTCACCTCCCCTGTCTTCCAAGCTCTTTCTGTGTGGCTTGTGGGCGCTCTGTTGTGTGCAGGGTGAGAAAGGCCAGGCCACACTCTCATTCGCCTTTTTGTTCTTAAAAGCCAGGGAGAGGACCTTGTCCTCTTCCCTGCACTCACAAGTTCTTCTTTTCATGTCTTAGCCAGAGTTGTGGTTTGAGGGGTGAGGGGCCGCATTCAGGGCTGTGGTGTGGGATACAGCAAGGATAAGCCTGTTGTAGGTGGAGGCATGCAGAAGTCTGTTTTTCAGACATGCGAGCTGGGAGATGGAAAGACACTGTGTGCTTACTGTCTACTCAGAGATCCACAGTGTGTGTGCATTGCCTGAGTATTACCTGTCATGCTCCCGTCTGTAACATGGATGTGCAGAAATTGATTCCTGGTTCTCACCTGAGCTCTTTGGTGAGCTCAGCAGGATCTCTTGGCTCACTCTACCTATGTGTGCATCTCTGGTGTGTGATTATCCTACCTATTACAGAGAGTGGCATAAAGGTGGAGTTGCTAATGAGCCCTTGATTGTGACTCCAAACTGAGTTCACAAAAGTCTAGGAGCTTCTTCTTGTCAGGAGAATATTGCAGGAGCAGTGACTGGATGATAAAAGATAAAGGAGAGAGATCCATGGTCCTTTGTTGGCTACATCCTGATGGAGAAGGCATCCATTTGCGTGCCTGGAATTGGCTAGGTGACTAGGGCTGCTTCAGGCAGCGTGTGCCTCCAATAGATGTGCAAGTGCTTTGTGCCAAAGCCAGGGAGACATCTAGCAATGCCAGAGCAGTTAAAACTGTTCTGCATACAGAGAAGTTTTCTGGGGTGCTGCAGTCTGAGGGGGAAAATAATTGATGGAGGGGCCACACTACAGCAGCTTAGAGAGTTACCCTCCTGCCAGTGATTATAGCCCCCAGAGAGCGAGACCAGACCTTACCTTGTTATTTTCCACCTGGTCTTGCATCCTATCCCCAGAGTAACTGGAAATTACCTTGCAGAGTTTGAAGAGTGAGAAATAGTGCAAAGTACAAAGAAAAACAAACAATACCCCAAATAAGTTGTGATGGCAGAAGGGATTTACTTGTGTCTTTTACTAGTCCCTCCTTTTGGTGATATGACTGGCACTAAGGGAGGTTTCCAGAGCTGGTGTGTTGGCCAGAAAGATAGCAAGGAGTCCTAAGAATGGGTATGTTATCTGTTTCCAGACAAAAAGCTGGTTAAGCTGAAGTTCCTCCTGCTCCATCTCCTTGTGAAGTTAGAATTGGGTTCTAGAAGGGAGGGCAATTTTTCGTTTCTCCCACTGCTTCTTCAGGCTGCTTCTGCTGCTGTCCTCTGGCGCTAACCTCTGCTCATGGCAGCCCCTGAAACGAGACGCACTTTCTTTTCAGCAGAATTCTTGCCTGCATGAGGCTTTGTTGTCTGTATTGCTTCCAACCCAAATAACAGGCTAGGTGGGGAGCTGGGGGAGTGTGTCTCTCTGCATGCATTGCTTGGCTTTGTTCTTGTGTGTATGCGTGTATCTATGTGTGCATGTTGTGAGAGGGTGCAAACAAGGCACTCAACTCAGCTTGTGAATGAGGAGACCTCTGATCCTACTCCTAAATTTCCCCCTGTACCACATCTAGGTGAGCCTGGGGGAATAGAATTCATCGACCCATTCACGGGTCGAGACTCTCTGCTGCTCTGCCCCAACTACACAGCACTTCACCCCACCAGTGACGTCATGCCATGTCTTAACACCATGCGCTCTTAAAAACATCAGCCACTTCCCTTCCTCCCCTCCCTTCCCCCACTTGCTCCCCTGCCACAAGCATTAACCTCTTCTCTTTTTCTTTCCTTGCCTCTCCTCTCTGACAGATGTGAAAAACCGAGACGGTGAGCAGCGGAAAAGAAGGGGGAACAGCCCTGTTTCTGGAGCCTGATTTCTCGCCTGGACAGAAAAATACAAAACAAAACACTAATCCAAATGAACCCTAAAAATGAAGGATCGGTAGAGCACAGCACTTTCAGTACGGACGATGGACTCCGGAAGGAACATTCCCCAAGGCACCCGCCGCACAGAATTCACCTTTGGGTTTTGAACTGTTTTATTTTATTTTTTGTTTTTTGTTTCATGCTGCTAAATAACAGAGCCAGGAAGACTATAGGGGTGTATTTGATGGGTTTTCCCATGCATACATATATATGTGTGTATACATGCATATACATATATATATATGTATATATATTTTAACCACATCTATATATACATATATGTATATCTTAACCACACACACACACACACACATATATATATAATATATATATATATATATATATATACTGATTATTTTTTTTAACATTGCTAATGTTATTGGTGTCTTCACTGGATAATACTCGACTGCTGTGGACACAAGCGGGCTACTTGGGGCATAAGAAACAAGCTAAGACTGGACTTGATAGAAGCGCTGGGTGTAAACTTCTTAACTCTAACTGACCTGTGCGGCCTCCGCTGTTTCTCTGTAGAGTGTGCTGTACCACAAACCACCTTCTCCTTGCCTGGGACAGGGAGGAGAGGTGACGGAGAGGATGGGCAGGGAGTTCCAAAGAGCGGCATCCTAGGGTGCGATGGGTCAAAGGCCAAGGAAATGGCCGTCTGCGTGATCAAGGATTCCTCCTCCCCTCTCTTCCCCCAACATTCGCCCTTACTCGTCTCATAACCTGCCTGCCTTGCTGGGACATGGGATGTCAGTGTACATTTTGCGTTGACTTTATTCGCTATAGAAACTTTGCCAGAGAGACGTGCTGGCTTCTCTTAAGGATGGTGGGCAGCTGATGCGCACTAACTTTCCCTTCAAGAAAGTATCACAGGAGTCTAGATTTCCCGCCCTTGGTGGCTGCAAAAGGACACAAGGCCTGCAGTGTGATGAAGCAAGAATGGGGACCGGTGCCTAGCCACACAATTGTTCAGCACTGTCTGCTTTCTTCATGCACAGAGCTGCCACTCAAGAGCATCCAAGATGCTTACGGAACATTTCTGGAAAGGGATATTAATCAAAAGTATATACACAGTAGGGGTGTGTGTGTGTGTAGGTGAATGTGTGCATTTGTGTCTGTGTGCGTGTATGTTTGTGTTTTTCTCTCTTTTTTTATATATATATATTTATTTTTATACATATATATATATAAAAAATAATATATATGTATGCCAAGATGGAAGGGGGGACAAAGAAAGCAATTTTTGCTGCCTTCCGTTTGCACGTCCAGTATGAATGACCGTTGGGAACGTCAAGGTTTTCTTGATAACGTAGTGTAAAGGCCAGGCTCCTTTTCCACCTCTTGGCCTGGGAATCAAACGTGAAGGCAGCCGGAATCCCTAAGGCATGTCTGAAAATCTTGGCTATGTGTGTATCTGCAATATACTCTGCGGTGTATGTGGAACCCACCTTACCCACGCGCACACACACACACACCCCTGAAAGCGTGTTTGTACATCTATGTGGATATATATAATCTAGTTCTGTGATTAAAATTATTAATAATAATAATAATAATCAAAAAGGTACTCGGTCTGTGTCAGAAATCTGCCAAACATCATCTGCAATTGAATTTTCAACGCCTGATAATGTACAACACGGAAAGCTTCCAAAAAAGACAAGACAGTCTAAAAACAGACTCACAGCAAGTGACTACTAACCACTAGGAACTCCCCATCTGAGTGATGACTTTCAGGAGAACACACGGGTGGGTGCTTGCATCTGCAATGTATAATACTCATGCTGCATCGTGCGCAAGACAGAGGCTTCCGATGGGGGGGAGGGAAGAGAAAGTGTTTTATATACTTATTTAATATCCCTTTTTAAATTAGAAATTAAACAGATAATTTAATTAAAGAGTAGGGATTTTTCAGTATTCTTTGTTAATATTTAATTTGAACTATTTATAAGCCGTACCTCTTTTTTTTTTTTCTTTTTTTCTTTTTTTTTTCCTTTTTTTTTTTTTTTTTTTTTTATTTGTACTGGTTGTGTATAAATTTAACTTTCCTGTTGTCCCATCCCATCTCTCCCCAATTGTTGGCAGAGTCAGTAGCATGTTATGGGCAGTTATTTAATTAATTTCTCTAACACCTACCCCTACACATTCCTATTGAGACAAGGGTTAGATATACATCTACATACTATATATATATTTGGCTATGTGTTTGTATATATATATATATGTTTATGTATATGTGTGATTCGGATGAAATAGACGCTACGATTTTTTTATATATGTAAAAAGAAGAGACAGGAAAAATAGAAAATTCTACATCTTGAATCTCTCTCCTTTTTAATTTTAATATTTGTTATCATTTTATTTATTGGTGCTACTGTTTATCTGTAATAATTGCGGGGAAAAAAGATATTAACACTACATATTGTGTCTAGTGAGTTTTTTCAAGATATTCCTTAGTACATATTTATTTTTAAACAAAGAAATTACAGATATATCTTAAAAAACCGACGACGACGACGACAAACAAACTTTTTTTTTGTATTAAAGAATTTAATTCTGACTTTGATTTCCTTTGCCTTCTCCTTCTACCTTGCACCCTGATTTTCTTCCATTGCATAGCGGACCCTCCAGCTTTGCCTCTGGAGGCTACAGGGCACCAGCAACCTGCCAGTTGGACTCGTGGATTTGGGCCCAGAGCCTCCAAAAGCATCTAGGTACCTAAAGCCCCTTGAAATCAGTGGGAGGTAGGCGCCAAAATACTTTCATGAAGTTCCCAGCTCAGTGAGAAGAGGGTGGTCTGATGGGCAGGAATGAGGGGGCAGGACTCCTGGGTTCATTTCCAGCCTCTCATACCAAGGAATGTGGTGCTGGCCGCAGCCTTGCCTCTAGTCTTACCAGGAGTCAATCCCCATCGTGCTGGGTACTGTAGAAGTACGAGTGCCCATGAGCTTGGTGGATCTTACAGTCCAAGATGAGAAGTAATGCTCTGAGCCTGCCCTTTGCTGGTAATGGACTTGGTGTTTGCTGCTGGAGCTGTGTAACCAGCTCCCAGTGACGGCTCAGCAAGACCTCACCATCCTGGATGATACGGAATGAAGAACTGTTCATCTCTAACTGTACTCAGCCTTTTGCGAGGTACTGTTGTGACATTTGTGATGTGCTCTGGGGTGTTTGAGAGGAAAAGCTGCTTGGAAGCAACGTCATTTCCTCATCAGCCATGGGGTGAGTGTGTCACAGGCTGTTGGTCATCTGGCCATGTCGGAAAGGAACATACAGGATCTTCCTGGATAATGGAGGTGACTCAACCGGGTTAACGCAGACCTCTGAGTTCCTGGCTGCCTCAGTCCTGCTCTTGTCAAGGCAAAGCATCCAGTTTTTATTTAGTGCAGTGTGGGCAGCTCAAGAGGCGGATCTGCAGTTTTGAACTCTGCAGACAACAGAGGAAAGTGGACAAGTAATTGAAGAGGTTCTGCTTCATCTCGTTCGGTAACATCTTGTAGAACGCACTGGTGAGAGGTGTGAAGGTGAGCAGGCCCATTTGTGGATGCTGCTGTGTGAAGAACCCAAGGAGTTTCTTGTCAAGCATATTCACCACTGACTTGTGGCTTGCAAGGATCTATTGGCTGTTTCACAGATGGCTGTGCAAGGCAACAAAGACAGGAAGTCTAGTCTATAAACAATACACCTGCATTGGCTCTATATGAGCTTGGAAGGGCTTACATGCCAGCAAATCAAAAAGATTGAAACCAGCATGTCAGTGGTGCTGCCGTGTTCTGAGCTGAAGACACCTTTCTGGATGTTGTATCTCAGCAGAAGAGATTCCAAGTCTGTTAGACGTAGTGGGCCACAAATGTCAAGTTCTGCCTGCTGATGGTGAGCTGAGCTGGCTGCTTCTTGGATGTGAAGGAAAACAAGACCTGCAGTCCTCTCTCCTCCTGCTTCCGAGGGCTAGCTTACTCCATGAGACAGCGGCTGTGCCTGGTGGGGTGACATTTTTCAGCTGGGACAACTGCACCTGCTGAAGGGATACACTTGTGTGTGGCTGCTGCAGGGCTCAGGCAGTAACCTTGCACCATGTAATACATGCACTGCAGCCGCAATGGGATAGCAGCACAGCGAGAGGTTGTCCGAGCCTGCTCTGAAGTAGGCATCTGGAAGCAGTCCAGCCCTTCACATGTACCCTCCAGAGCAGATATGGCTGAGCTGCACCCTACTGTGAAGAGAATGGCTGTGGCACATTGTTGGAGGGGAGTCTTGCCCTCCCTGGAGAGGCTACATGTGGGTGAGGATCACACTTTGAAGGTATTCAGCCTCAGGAGTTTGACTTTCCCTTGTCCTGCCAGTCCTGAGCTCATCTGTCACACCTGACTCACATGTGCCTTGTCCTGGGGTGATGTGAGGACGCATGGGGCCCGGCTGGGTTCTCTGCTGTGTGCCCAGCACAAATGGGTTTCCTTGTGCCCGCTTCAGTTATTCTGTGGGACTCAAACTGTGGAGCCACCTGAAAAGGGAGGAAAAGGTGTCCCAGGTAGAAAACTCCACCAGCAATGGGAAAGGCGTGCTTTAGGTTGGAAACGCCTTCCCTCTTTCCAATTTGACGCCTGATAGCTGCTTTGACTCCTTGTTACTACTGATTTAGTTTGCGAATTGAGCCTGTCAGCCTCCTGGTAGGGAAGCAAGGAAAGAGCACCTCAGAGAAAGGCTCTGCTTGGGCTCCTGGGCCATCTCCACTGTGTGTTATGAAGGAAGACTCCCAAGCACCTCACCTGAGAGCAGGCCACCTTTGGGCCAGGTGCTGTAGGAATGCCACCAGAGGCAGGAGCTAGGCTGGCTCCGTGTCTCATAGGCTGTGGTGAGCTGTGATAACCTTGCACTAGGGGCTGGTGGCAGCCTGTGAGGAATGTGAAGGGCTCCGGTCCTCGGAGAGGCTCTTCCCCTCCATTCTGGCATCCCTGCACCATGGTGGGGATGAGGGTTGAGTCCACTCTTGGATGTCAAGTCCTGGTGGCAGTGGTTTGCCAGCTTCATGTGTTGGGAGGGACACTGGGGCATCTCCCAGCGGTGCAGCTCTGTGTGCATCCAGAGGTGACACGCAAATTTGGCACATCTCCTTCAAGCTCTGCATAAGATGCCTCAGTGTACATTCAGGAAGGTGATGTGGCACATTCACAGTTGAGGGACATACGAGGAAATGTCTGTACTTCTGCACTCTATCCCTATGTTGTAATATGGGGCTAATTTTATTGGTTTACGCTCTTTATTTTTACCTCAGTCTTTCATATTTGCCCAGCACTTTCAAGAAGTAAAAATACGCCTAACTCTTCCTCAAATGGAAAGCGCCCAAGTGTCTCTTCTAGCATCTGCCCATTGCTGCCTGCTGCTGTAGGCTCCTATGTGCCTTTAATACAGGGCTACCCCCACTGCTCAACCTGTGCCATCCACCTCTTGGCCAAGCCTGGCACTTGAACATGGCAGGGGAAGGAGTTGAACTACAAACCTTGTGCCCACATGGCAGGGGTTCAGCTATGGAGTTACCTCAACATGGCTTTTGCCAGCTGCTTAGTTGCCTCTTGCACATTCCACACCTGGAGCATTTTGCATGGCAGGACTCAGGCTGGGAAAGATATCTGGCACTGCTGGGCACTGCCCCATCACTGCTGGCATACTGAAATAACCTGAGATGCAGGTAGTGATGCCTTGCTCCTGATTTGCATGGAGCCTTGCAGATGTGAAGCTTTGGCTATGGATGGCAAGAACTTGCAAATCTTTGTTGAACGTATCTGTGGTGCGGAGTCTTTTGCTTCCGACCCTGTTCAGTGATAGCAATACTTGAGCAGAAGGAGGAGACACCAGACCCCTTCACTGCAAGCCCCATGGACAGCTCAGGAGAGGTGACAGATGATTACAACGAACAACTTAAGCAGATAAACCACTTCCATCACCTCTTCATTGATTTTAAGGCCAGAAGTGGGGTCTGCATGAACTGAGCAGAGCCCTTCACCCATAATTCCTACCCATAACTCTTGCCTGAGCTACAGTGTACATTTTGGAAAGGCTTCCAAGCTGCTGTTTGGCTGCCCAACCTTCATATCCTTCTCATTACAGAGACTTCTGGCGCTGGAGGCAGCCTATGTTGCATGTCATTTACCCTGTGTCATTGGCCTCTCCTCCAGAAGCTCCTGCTGGCACCTTTGTTATTCTTCCTGCCTATGCTTGGCTGTAACTCCAGGACTGCAGAACCAAAAGCCCCAACAGAGCTTTATGATGAACTCATTCCCTTCAAGGAAACACCTCACCCAGCTGCTCAGAGGTCACTGTGAGAACTAACTTCCAGAAAAGCAAATTTCTGTCAGTCAACTCCACTTTTTCTTTTTTTTTCCAGCTCTAATTGGCTCATTCCTCCTCAAGTCCCCTTCATTATTTTGGGCAGCTTGCTGGAAAGTGCAAACCTTATTTTGCATTGCAAGGACCTCACAACGGGGAGATGCAGCCTGGAAGCACCTGACCAGCTCATGTTTCTTCTGAAGTGTTGTTGCTCCTAGAGAACAAGAAGCCAACTCCTAGTTACTTTGATTTATCTCATAGAAAGTGCGATGAACTGGGGTCAACAGCATTGAATCTGATTGTTTCCAGTCTCCGTAGGCACCATAAATTATGAGTCACAGGCTCATCCTGAGCTACTTGGTGACTAATCTGAGGCCATTCTTGAGGCTTAGGTCCAATTTCTTGCTCGCAGTACTGGCTTGTGAGAACTATGTGTTGCAAATATACAGTGCAGACCGAGGCGGTACACAGCACCCAGGAGAACTGGCTAAACTGCCAGAGGTGGTGCTGATGAGTCAGGGAGTGGCACTGCCCTATGCACTAGTAGTCCACTGGAGTGGCTGGATGTGCAGTACAAGATTCTGTGACATTACTGACTCACTTTGTGGGACTCGGTGTGATCCACACCCCTGTAGAATTGTTGGGACCAGACATGAATGCAGAGACATCCCAAGAGGAACGATTCCTGGCTTTCAGTTGTCCACCAGTTGCAAATGTGCTGATATTCTGAACATGTGTATCTTTGTGCAGGTCATACTCCATGGCCTAACGCATTGCACCCTCTGGACTTTGTCCTGCTCTTTAGTCTCTGTTTTCTGTGCCTCCATTTCATGCTGTTGCTTTAGGTTTATAAATGTGTCTAGGTGCACTTCCCTCTTCTCAAACACTGACCTCAGATGCTTGTGGAGTTTCACCGTGTCTTATTTGAGGGCATTTCTTGGCTAATGACAGCTTGTGAAGTTCTTCAAAGCCCCCTACATCAACTCATCGAGCTCTGCACTCAATCATCTCCTGTTACCTTCCATTTATAACAATAATAATCCCTTTCCCTCAGAAGGTGACCTCCATTGAACGCACTCAAAGGTGGATCACTCCAGAACCACAGAAGAGGCTCTAGATAAGTTTAGAATCTCTTGTGTCTCTCTCTCTAAATTCACCTCTCCCCAGTTGCTTGTTCTCAGCCTCTTCTGGCAGTTTCCAGGGTGTCCTCTTTCCAGTGCAAAGTAGCTTTGCCCC